TTTTTTTTTTTTTTTTTTTGCTTTTACTCATACCGGTGACTGAACTCAGGACCCTGTGTTTGCAAGGCAGGCGTGCCTTCACTGAGCTAAATCACTGGCTCAGGAATTCTTTAAAATATTCACTAATCCAGAGAGAGGCTGAAAAGAAAATACAAAATAAAACCCCAAAACGGGGAAGACACAAAATAAATAGTGAAATATTAGACTTGAATCTAATAATATCAATTAGTATATTAAATTTTTAAGTAATTAAAAGTACTTTGTCAGATGAATTAAAATGTCACAGACAACTATATACTACCTACAAATGAACTACAATTTGCAAATACAGAGAGACAGAAAATGAATGGCTAAATGTATACCAGGCAAACTGTAAACCTAGGAAAGTTAAAGTGAATATATTAATTCCATTTAAATTAGACTTCAGAAACTAAGATTATCACTCAAAATAAAGATATTTCACAATAATCAAGGATTGATCCACAGCCAGAAATGACACAGAATGTGCAAGAGAGTTAAATAAGAATTTAATAAGACAGAAAAGAAACAGATATATAGAAACTGCACTTCTAATTAATTCATGGGTCAAGTAAGAAACCAATAGGAAAATAAGAAAGTATTTTAACCCGAATGACAATGAAAACACAACATATGACAATCTGTGAGCTACAGCTAAAGCAATACATAAGGAGAAAATTTATAGCTTTAAATACTTAAATTACAAAAGAAATAAAATAAATTACTTCAGGTTTCACCCTGGGCCAGTTACAAAAAGCCAGGCATAATGAAACATGCTATGATCCCAGTACTCTAGGAGGCTGAGGCAGAAGGATAAAAAGTTCATACCCAGGGGCCGAGATAGGGATCAAGTGTTCCACCTCCTGCCTCACAAACACAAGGGCTGGAGATCAATCCCTGGTACAAACAAAAAAAAAAATTTTTTTTTCATGTCCAGACCCAGCAACTAAGTGACTTTATGAGACCCTGTCTGAAAAAGTAAAAAGGGCTGGGGATGCGGCTCATGGAAGAAACCTTGAATTTAATCCCTACCACCACACATTAAAAAAAAAAAAAGAAAAAGAAAAGGAAAATAAATCCAATATAACTGACAGACAAAAAAACGCAAGAATGAATGAAATAGAAAACAGTAAAGAAAATTAACAAAATCAGAATCTGATAGTATAAAAATATCAATAAAGTTGGTAAATAGCTAGGTAGAACAATCAAACAAAAAGAAAAGACCAAATACAAATTACAAATAATAAAGCATGCGGAGGATGGAAATTTAGCTTAGTGGCTTTGCCGCCTGCCTCTCGCAAGCACAAGGTTCTGAGTTCGATCCCCAGTACAAAACTAAGGAACATGGATGATGGAGAAATTGTAAGAACGAATATTGATACGCATTCACAGGTAAGTCTCTAGGAGAATTACATGAGTTTCAGCAATGTGCTCTCTTCCACCCCTAAAAGGTTTATTCAATGAATGAAGAGCAAAAATGGATCATAAATTCACAAAAACTGTTTTTAAATGTGATTTTGAGAATTTACAGTATTTACTGCAAGAAATATCATTATCAGTTAATCATCTTGTCATAATGTACAAAAGTGAATTTTCCATCATCTTCATTCCAAGTTTCTTTGAAAGTCTTTTCTTTTTATTTATTTATTTTTTTTTTTTTTGGTGGAACCAGGGGCTGAACACAGGACCTTAGCTTGCCATGGAGGCGCTGGTGCCATTGAGCTAAACCTCCAGCTGACTACTTTTCTTAATTATGACATAACCATTTTTGAATAGGGTCTTTATATTTGGGGGAGCTGGTTGTTTTGAGTTCTTTTTATATCCTTGATAACAGTCCTTTGTCTGAGGAACAGCTGGTAAACATTTTTGCCCACATTGTAGATTGTCTCTTAGTTCTGCTGATGGTTTCTTCTGAAGTACAGAAGCTTTTTAGTAAGATGAGATCTCAGTTGTTGATTCTATCTGCTAGTTCCTGTGCTACTGAGGATTTGTTCATAAAGTCTTTTCCTATACCAATGTCTTCCAGAGTTCTGTCTAACTTACCTTCCAGCAAGTTTAATGTTTGTTTTAATATTTAGATCTTTAATTCATTTGGATTTTAATTTAGTGCATGGCGAAAGATAAGGGTCTAATTTTAATCTGTGGCAGGTTGACATTCAGTTTTTCCAATTCAAAAATGGGCATCTGAAATGAACAG